TTTTTTTTCATCCGAAGAAAATTTTCCACTCAAAAGCTGCTAGTACTAATATGAGACACCAGCATTAAGGTTAGGAGAAAGTGTATTTTCATCTGTGACTGTTCCTAACAATGACAGATGGAGACAAACAGAGTAAGGAACAAGGAGATGGTTAAGGCCAAAGGAAAGAGATACAGCCACAGGGGGAGGGGAAACAATATTAAGGGTGCAAGGCAGAGAAGAGGGGATAGGGCACACAAACAGAGGGCTATTGGGATATGGAAGTCATGGGGGAATATCAGTGTGGGGGGGACAATATGAGGGGGACAGTGAGGCAGCCTGGGATGGAGGCAGTGGAGGAAAGGGTATAGAAGAGCAAGATGTGATAGGACAGTGTATGAAAGAGCACAGCTCAGGGAGCTGGACTGGAGTCCAATGAACTGGAGGCAGAAAGGCAACATGGGACTGGGACAGGACACAGACACATGGGGGGGGGGGGGGGGGGGGGAAAGAGGCCATGAAGCAGGGCACAGACATAGCCAGGGGAAGGTGATGGGGGGGGAGATGAGGTAGCCAGTACAGGGACAGGGGACAATGAGGCAGGAGTGACAGAGGCAGGGTGCAGACACATGGGATGACAAGGGGGGCAATGAGGCAGGAAGGATGGGGGCAGGCTCCAGACACAGGAGAGGTGGCAGGGAATAATACAGCAGCAGAGATGGGGAAGGGCACAGACACAGGAGAGGTGACAGGGGTCAATGAGGCAGCAGGAACGAGGCAGGGCACAGACACTGGGGAGGTGGCAGTGGAGGGATAATATGGCAGCAGGGACGGGACAGGGCACAGAATGTGGCGGGGGTCAATGAGGCAGCAGGAACGGGGCAGGACGGAGACGCGGTGGGGGTGTGTGTAATACGGCAGCGGGGACGGGGTAGGACCCAGACACATGGTGAGGGGGGGTGGGGGGTAACACGGCAGCAGGACGCAGACGATGTGGCTGGGCTCAATGAGGCAACAGGAACGGGGCAGGACGCAGACGCGGAGTGGGGGGTAACACGGCAGCAGGAACGGGGCAGGACGCAGACGATGTGGCGGGGGTCAATGAGGCAGCAGGGACGGAGCAGGACGCACACACAGGGTGGCGGGTGCGGGGAGGGGGGTAATACCGCAGCAAGGACGGGGCAGGACGCAGACACAGGGCGAAAGGCCGGGAGTTAATGAGGCAGCAGGGCCAGGGCAGGAAGGCCAGCAGGAGGGGGGCGGCAGGCACGGCCCGGGGATGACAAGAACCAGGGGGCCGGGGCTGACCCACGGGAAGCCCCCTCCTCACTCACCCGTCTTTCCGCTTGGCTTTGTAGACGTGCCCGTAGGTGCCTCTCCCCACCTTGCAGCCCTCGTACTCGAACAGGTCCTCTACCCGCTCCCGCTCCCCGGTCAGCTTCACCTTGAAGTCATAGTCCATCTTCAGCGCCCACCGCCGGGACCCGCCGCCTCCGGCCGCCTCACAGCCCGCCGCGCCGCCGGACACCGCAGGGACCAGGGAGGAGGAGGCCCCGCACCAGCGATACGGACCATCCAGGGGGAAGCCGGCGGGCGTGAGGGCTACTCCCTCCCCTCTCTCGCCCCGTCTCCTGCCGCTCCCTCCTCGCCTCAGCCAGGCAACGGCACAACAGCCGGTATTTCACCCGGAATACGGCAGCCCCGCTTCACCGCACTGTTGAAAAAGCGTCGCAAGCCGCTCTCACAGCGACACCTCCCCAGCAGCAGAGACTAACGCACCACGTGGAAACTAGCCGGCTGAGAGCGCCCACTCCAGCTCCGGGGCCGGCATGCATTGCGCCACCGGGGGGCGGAGGAGGGGGTTTGCATGCTGGGAGTTGTAGTACAGAATTTGTTAAGTGCCCCGCTTTGCATGCTGGGAGTTGTAGTCTGGGGGGTGAATTATACCAGGAGATGTAATTGGAGTGGGGAGGAGCTAGGGCAGCTCAATGTGTAGTGCTGGGGGTTTGGAGAGTGGTCGCAGTGGAGCACTGCATGCTAGAGCTGCAGTTTGGAAGGGCACGGGTAAGGACACAGTTGGAGTATTGCATCCAGTTTTGGGCCCCCCACTACAGAAAGGATATGGACAAATTGGAGAGTCCAGCGGAGCACAACACAAATGATTAGGGGGCTGGGGCACTTGACTTATAAGGAGAAGCTGAGGGAACTGGGCTTTTTCAGTCTAGAGAAGAATGAGGGGGGGATTTGATAGCAGCCTTCAATTACCTGAAAGGGGGTTCCAAAGAGGATGGAGCTCGGCTGTTCTCAGTCGTGTAGATGACAGAACAAGGACCAATGGTCTCAAGTTGCAGTGGGGGAGGTCTAGGTTGGATATTAAGAAACACTATTTCACTAAGAGAGTGGTGGAGCACTGGAATGGGTTACCTAGGGAGGTGGTGGAATCTCCATC